CAATAAGCACTGGGGCATTGTTTTAGGCTCATGATACTGTAGGAGACAGTGGATGCACAGTCTTCCAGTGTAAAGCTACATCTGTCTATTTATACAGAATTTCAGTGGAGCTTTGCATGGAGAAATTTTAATATGTGACATGATCATTTTTAAAACTTGGATGAAATGCAAAAGTTACTGGTGAAAGATCCAAATGTTAGTATTAATAAGTGTAACCTTGGTTTATACTGCTGAGTCTAGTCATCCTTTCAAATAAAAATATCTGTTTTCCTTTTGATTTCTTTCATTAAAAACTGCTTCCCTTTTATAATTTTATTGGGGTTTCATTTGTGTGTTAAAGTTCATGTTTTTTTTAATATGTTAAACATGTCATGGTGCTTTGGATCAAGTGAGTTACCAAGGACACATGCAGGATTTTGATGCCTCATCTCATCATTTAAAAAGCCATTTAACATTTCTTCATTCTTATCTTTATGCTTTTGCCATATCATGGCATGCCTTTACACTCCACTGCACTTGTCAGTACTTTCTGTATCTTGTAGGCAGGCTCTGTTCACCACCCAAAATCCTGCACCCAATGATGTAAGCAGCCTCCCAACAGCACTAAGAAAAACTCATTTCAGCTGTAAGACCCCTAATCATCCTCTTCTGATAAAGCTGAGCTAAAGTACAATTTTAAAACAAAGAAAAAATTGTTTTCCTATGACTGTCATCACATACAGGATTAACTATTTGATTAAGGTAATTGTGCCATCTTCGGTGATTATGGGAAATTGTTTGCAACAGAGTAAAACAGTGACACTGTCCTAAAATGAGCAGGTTGACCAGCATATCTGTTTCTCTTTAGAGCTCTGTTTGACAATTAGGCATAATACCAATGCACTGGATGAAGTCAGTCTGTTGCTCCTTTGATTAAACATGTATTTGCTGCCTGGTACTTGCAGATAACAACATACATAATGGAAACTGCTGCAAGGGTACAAAACTCTGACTTTAAGGCTTGAGGAAAATAAACAGCCATTTATTTCTAATGTCCAGAAACAAAGAGAAAAAAAAAACAATCTGCTTGTATCTTAACAATGTTTCTATCAATACATATATAGTAAATAGCTCAAAACAACAACATGTCCTACATATGAAAGGAGTGCCTGCACACTGACACAACAGTAAAGCCCCCTCAGATGCCAAAAAACTAATTTGTTACATTACTAGTGATTAAATGAAAACAATGAGTAAAAATGTGAATGTTTCTGTCAAAAGAGATTCATCAGCACAACTTACAGACATACAGTAAACAGACAGTCAGTGAGGCCCAGTCTGGCCAAGAATACAAGGTGTCTCACATGAACTCGTTACCTGTTTAACACTACAGCAGCAAATGGACACATTTTTTGTTGAGTATTTAACTGAATAACATTTCATTTCATCACACAATCACTGTCCAAGTAAATCTGAGATCCTGCCTACATGTACTAACATACAAATAAAAGTGGCTCTGTTCAGGTGTGGGTCGTCTTTAAGCTTCAGCACAGGTTTAATAGAAATGCATTTTTAAAAACTATTTTTTTTAAACAAATAGACTAAATAACTGCTTAGTCCTAGTCACTGGGAACTTTTCTCCAGTAAAATACTCTGATCTCATCATGAAATTATTTCTAGAAAACAGTGTTGTGGTTCATTTGTCAGTGCTTTGTTGCACCACAAAACAATGATGCAGTTCAACAACAATGCATAGGAAAATGCTGGTTGTAATTTGGGTAAACATTTTTTAGCTGTAATGCTAATTATCATTTGTTTACTTTAAAATCAGACAATCAATCAGAAGGACATGAGATAACTAATATACCTCCAACCCCTAAATGACCCATATGTGTAGCAGTGTTTGCAGTAGTGACTTGATTACTATACCTCCAACCCCTAAATGACCCATATTTGTAGCAGTGTTTGCTTAAAGTTAGTATGTTACACTCTGAACATTCCTATGGCAAAACGCTGTAGCTGGTAGTGATGAAAGTGGAACCTTTAGGCAGATATAGCACTGTTAAAACTGGTCTGTCATTTTAGGCATTTACCTCTCTCTCTTTCCTTAATGTTCAGCTCCCAGCGGTCGTCTTCCAGTCAAACCACCAGTGGGGGAATGTCACCTGTTTCCTTACATGTCATGAGTTGAGCGAGGGTGCAGACTTTAGTGCTGAAGTGTTTTTAGGAAAGTAGGCCAAGAGCATGAGGATTTTTGAAAAGACAAAATGATAGAGTGACACAGCGAAGTAGAGGAAAGGAGATGTGTCAACGACAGCGTTTCCATCATATTTGTGACATTTTGTTTGTTTGTTCTTGGGACAACGATCACTCATGTACATGACAGCCGACATGAGGACAGACTTTTTTATTCCCTCTCTTGTTCCTTATTCCTATATACATACATAACTGTCTAAAGCTGAACTCAACTTTAAAACAATTTAAAAAACCTCATTTTACGTTGAGAAACGTGTACAATACATGTACGGTACATATAAGTACAGTTAGAGGGTGTGATGTAGTAAATACTGATTAGAATAATGTTGGTGAAAGATTTTTAACATTTATTTATTTTAGTCACTGTTCATCAGGCATTTCCAAGCCACTAGTTTCTCTCTTACCTGTCTAAAATGACAGTTTACACACACACATGCAAACACATAGGCACACTTCTTAGTTTTGTCACTTAGTGGGACATGACATTAACTTAATAAATTTCTTAGAGACTAGCCCTAACCTTAGCTTCAACCACTGTGTGCCTAACACTACCCTAACCTTAAACTCCTTACCCTAAAATTCAGTGACTTACTTTCTGGGGACCAGCATCTGGTCCACACCAGGAAAGTGAGTTCACATAATGTTAATAGGCTCCAGGTTTGGGGTCCCCTCAAATACAGAAAAACTATTTTTTGAGGACACTTAGGGACATAATGCATTTCCAAGCCCTTTCCATTACAACTAATGGTGATATTTACTATGCCTGTTGCAAATTACCAACAGGTGTGCAAAATACTGTGGCGCTGCATTTTTTCAATTTACCAAAATCTGATTATGTAAATGAGCACAACCCCAGCAGTTCATTTGAATATATGGTGGTCTGTATTGCACGTGTGCAGTGAGAGGAAGTGTAGAAGAAAGTGTAAGTCTACAGCAACTGAACTTTAATATGGTTGAAGAAATCAGGAAACACATTTCAGAACTCAATCACTTATTCTTCTGCCAGTCAAATGATTTTGTATTTCAGTCACTGAAGCATGGTTTGACATTCTCCTCTGGCAAGTAATGCAACTTATAAACACCTTTTCCCTCTTCAAACTTGTCCTCAACTCTGAAGAGATCTCAGATGACTGACAGCTGCCACGCTGACCAGAGGGCCACAAGTGTTACACCAATGTTTACCTGACATAAAATTTCAGCTGCAGTTCCTTCTGTGAGAAACCAGGTGCTGAGGGTATTTGT